CCCCCACCCCCATTTTATTATTTTATTGAGGAGGGAGTAGCTTTCCATTCTCATATGAAATCTTTGAGAAACAGGAATAAAGTAAAACAGTAAGACAGGGAATCCAACCAACAGTGTCATGGCTGATATGACCCTATGCAGAAACACAAAATGGTCCCCAGTCTTATTTGGAGACTGGGAGAAGCTGTGATTAGTCCGTGAAGAGCTGTATCAAAATAGTATTACACATCCCCTCTCAAGAGCCCCTCAAGTCCCATGGTTGAGCAATCTCCCATTTCTTCTCTCTGGCAGCTTTGCACATAAGAAATAAATAATAACGAGGGTGGCATTTTCCATTTTTGTTATCGTCTATGTGGGTGGCACCTTCTCTTCTTGTGTCTGCCATAGAATTCAACTTCTACAACTCAATAGAGGCTTAATAAATGCTTCCTGACCTTCTGGAACCTGCAAAACTAGAATTGGCAACGCTGATGAGGGAAAGAGCACAAAATATATGTATATTCCCCTCCAAATATGCTTAATTAGAGCTTCCCATCCAGTGCACTGTTTCATCTAATTCAAAACCAGTACAGTCTGAACAGCAGTAATGGAGACTCATTAAGTGCCATTAGCAGCAGCCACATTGCATGGACACAATAGAAACCAGCAACCATTCACAGCAACAGGTAACGTGCTACAATACAGACCTGTTAGACAAATAACCTGGTCACCCTCAAATCGGGTCCTCTGGCTTTTACAGGCACTTATTTTCTAAAGCATTATGTCCTATGAAACATATTTTAATTATATTCCTCAACCGTGAGCTACATTAATTTAATCTATCCTTTCAGTCATTCTGACACATGAAGCACATTCTTATCATTTTCGTTTCCCCTGTGCAAGGTTTGAGGATGGAGGGGAGACCAGGATGGGTTCTTGTTTTACGGTGGGCCTTTGGACAAAATATTTTAAAATGATATTATAACAGGTATAATTATAGTCATTATGACAACTGTAATCTTCAGTGAGTGGTCATTACGTGCCAGGCATTTTCCAAAGGCTCTACACTATTCTCTTATTTAATCCACATACCAACCCTATAAGGTAGTCATCACTATTATCCCTTTCGTGAAAAGAGGACAGGTCACATGGCCAGTCATGTGATCGGTGACAGAGTCCTACTCCGCATTCAATGGCATGAACCATTGTGCCCCTGCACCTCTCAGCAACTCAGCTGGGATCCAGGCAAAGTTCTCTGGGGGCTCCTGGAGTCCCATGAAGTGCTAAGTGAATTACACCCATGTTTCCCATGCTGGGAGGTGTTTGGTCACAAATGTTCCTCAATACAGTTTCACAGCCAAATAATGACAGACCTGCTCAACCTGTAACTCTACTGAGTCACAACGCACTTTATGTTAGTGTGTGAACTTTCTAAAAAATGTAGCATTTCCCAAATACAATGGACCAAACATGCTTCCTATGCAGAAATACCTAATGAACATCTTACT